AGGGGGGGGGGGGGGTGAATAAGATTTATGCTAACCTAATTCGATTTAATGCCAAATTAAAACTATTAACAAATATATCCTAGCAAATATGATATGAACAATATATGTGCAAGGATATACAAACTAAGGGCAATATAAACATGCAACAATGACAATATAATAATATGCAAGAATAAATGCGCCAATGCCAAACTCAAACACAAGGAAATGATCACGGAGTTCGGACCTTCCGTCCTACGTCTCCGCTCCCCACTCTCGGGGAGAAATCCACTATCACACTAGGTTTTCAATGATCATCCGAAAATGTTTACACATCACACTCGGTTTTCTAGCTCACCGAAAACTTTACAATCACTCACAATATAAACACACTAACTACCACCTCAAGTGTTGGTCTCTAGCCCGTGTCTTCCTCAAGTGTTAGGAATTACAACCTCTCTCTAGGCATTACCACCGACCCCACTCCTCTTAGAACCGACCCCATCTCTTACCAACCACGTCTCTTGGTGTCTAAGTGTAATACAATGTGCAACTTCCAATGAAGCTCACAAATATGAATTATAATTATTCAATAGATGAGAATACAATTAAGGCTCACACACAATGTCACAAACTCACAACCCCAAATATACTATGAATGCAAATACAATAAATTCAATAGGTTGTGTGTGAATAAAGAGTATCAATAAAACAATTAAACTCAATATTGAAATCTAGCTTATGGAAATTAGCATCAAAGCAAATAAATAACTAGATAAGTGTTTAGAAAAACTTCTCTATAGATCAAGAGAGAGGGAGAAGAGTTGGATGCTCAAACACAACTGATGATCTTCATCAAGCTTTTGTGAAAATTGCTTCACAAACAAAACTCTTAAACACTCTTTTAAATAAACACAAAACACCCTAAATAAAACTGAGGATATGTGGGGGTATTTATAGGAACCCCAAAATCAAGAGAAAACAAGGTAAAAAGACCAAAAACCCAAATCTGTAAAAGACTAAAAAACTAGCCGTTACAGCATTAGTCTGCTTCCACGCCTCTGCATCAGCCGGATGTCTGATTTTACCATCATTAGTACGTTCTTCCATGTGCCACCTCATTTGCTTAGCAGTGTCTTTATTCATATACAACCGTTTTAGCCTTGGTATTAAGGGAAAATGACGCAGGACCTTTGCTGGAATCTTCTTTTGCTTAAGCATAGACCTTGTTGTCCCATGTGTTGAATAATTTTTGCGTTGTACCCACCGTGATACTCCACAAATTGGACACTCCTGAAGATCTTTGTTATCCTTATAGTAGAGGATACAATCATTAGGGCATGCGTCGATTTTATTGTAATCAAGTCCTATAACGGAAACAATCTTCTTTGCGTTATCATAATTTTCTGGTATGCTCTCTTTTCCATTTGGAATGACTTTTCTCAGCAACACAAGCAACATATTAAAATATTTATCTGCCATTCCACTAAGAGACTTTATACGCAAAAGACGCAGCATAAATGATAACCTGGTGAACTCGGTGCAACCCTCGTACAGATCGTTTTCATTATCGGCTATTAATTTCATTATCTGTGCCAGCTCCTCATGATCAGTCACGCCTCCAGCATTTCCTGACTCGTCAGCATCCTCGGCATAATCAGATTGATCTATATTAGGAACTGTTAACATATCCGCGAGCATCGTATGTGTATCATCTATTCTCGTATCATCTATTCTCCCACCGGACGTACCGGTATCCGCCATCAGTTCCATTTCTTCAAGACATCCTTCCCCATGAAACGTCCAATATTTGTACTCCTCATGGAATCCTGATATTAAGTGTTTCTGTAAATCACTTTTATCCACTAACGCCCTATTTTTACACCAACAGCAGGGACAATACACGACATCACTATTTAACTTCCGTGGGTCTGCCAAGGCGTACTGTATGAATTGATTTATTCCATCTTTATATCGACTATCCCTCCATCTATCAATACGAGGAATATCGATCCATGATTTGTCCGGAACTATCCTCATAGATCTGTATGATATTAAGCATAATTAGGTAATGTTAAGTTTTATTAGTAACGCATCAAATTAAAGGTTGCATGATATTAACTTTCTTCACGACATCAGGGAAATTTTAATTATAATAATCTCGGAGGGAAAATTACCAGAACATAAATTATGTGGGAGTAAAATCTAACGCTCATATTTGAAATAAGACAATTTAACGGCTGTCATAGGAAATGGACCTATCCCATTAGGAATATAGTAGTGTCTACAACTACCTTTATATACTTTAAGCGTATTTATTTCTTGAAAATTTCGGCAGCACCTACCCGCAGTTCTCCGAGTACACTGTGCGGATGTTATAATGCGTTATTAAGATAGATAATAGATCGATTATGGATCGATACGCAAAACAACATACGCTTATTGTACACGGAGAACAATGCGGTACGTGTTATCGAAATTTTTAAGGAATAAAAATGCATAAAGTATATAAAGATAGATGATACACTACTGTATTTCTAACCTATACGAGAAGGGGACTCCTCCCCGGACAGATCTAATAATTATTACATGTATATCATGCTCCTAACATAAATCACGTTATTCCCTTTAGTTGTAAAAAGTATTTTCACATCCTAAAATAGAATTACGTGAGTTTATATCAGAAGAGATTCACATCCAACATTATTAGACGGGAAACTAGGGGTAACGACTTTCGATTCATAAATCATGATATATAACACAATAAAACTTGTAATTACCCACAAGAGAATAAATTAACCAAAAAAGAATAAAGACCTAGAGAGTAAATTAGCAGCTGGTCAACTGTATCATATGATGCAGGTTATCTGATAATTGTTCAAACTTAAGGTGGTAACTTTCTGATAACTATTGTTCTTAATGAACTTTTCTCTCAGAAAGGTGGAATTAAGGTAAGGTCAAATTCTGTTACCGAAGTTACTTATGTCGTTATTTTCTTCATGAACTTTTCTCTCAGAATAGCGCTATCTCTGAACCAATTTAGAGATGAACTTCATACAAAAATTATTTCAGTAGTGATTGCACTTTAGACTAAAAACTGTCATGCTATATAACCACTTTATTACAGCATATGCTTAATTTTGTTTAAGTTTGTATGTTAAACTTTACAAATAAAATGAGACTCAACTAGATTACAGCTATTTGTAAATATCAGCCAGCTTGGTCATTTTACAACTAATTATTCGTTTTACAACTAATTATGTATAATTCTATACACAAAAATGCGACAATGACAAAAAATTACAGCTTGGATCTCCTGCAATGCAATCCAACAAAACGTAAGACTCACTTAGACCTCCTGCGCTGCAATCCAAGAAATCAGATCTCAAATTAGTAAAAACAACAAAACCTAAAATCAGAAAAAAATAAAAAAAATCAAAGGAATCATACGCTGCTGACGGGTGAGGAGACGAGAGAGCTCAGGCGCCCAATGTTCGAGTCGGCGACGGGGCGGTGCGGCGGCGAGCTCCAAGGTCGTCGGTGAGCTTGATCGGGGCCACGGATGGTGGAGTCGAAGAGGGGGAGGGGAAGGTGATGGCGCGGGCTAGGCTGGCCGCGAGAGTGCGGTGTTCGCCGGCGGCGAGTGGCTGAGCTGAGAGAGGGGAACGAGGGCGCGCAACGGCGAAGAAATTAGGGTTTCGATCTGTGGAAAAATATTTCGTCAGCGAGATTTATAAAGCAGACATCGCTGACGGGGTTCCCGTCAGCGATGTTTACAGCCCGTCAGCGATATTTTCATCGCTGACGGGAATGAAGACACGCTGACGGGAACATCGCTGACGGGATTTCCCGTCAGCGATAAAAACAACGCTGACGGGAATACCCCGTCAGCGATGTTGCCGTCAAGGAAACCCCAATTTCCACTAGTGCTTGAATTTGGATCTTCAACTTTAATTGTATTGCTTCATACCATAATTCCGCCAACCTCCATTGGATATGATCGTGAATGCTCGATTCTATCTATCCTCCAACATGTGGTTTGCCTAGAATAAATATGAAAATACAAACACTAGACAAATAACATTAGTGGTAAATTGTTTCTTAAACATTATCAAAACAAAAAAACCCAACATGCCTTTGCTGAACTAGGTAAAATCTTCATGTTTGCATTGGTTGTTGTTTGTTCTTGGTTATTTCACCATGAAGTTAAGGTTTTCTGCAAAACCCTAAAAGTTAAAGTTTTTGTTCAGATCTAAAGTTGACTTAGATTTTCAACAAGGATGGCATTACATGAAGGAGATGAGATGTGATAAGGTAGCAGCTATGCTATTTAGTAAGTTCTTTGACATATTTAGTGAGGGTGTAACACTGTTTGGGCCAGCGTACGATCATCGCTTGCATTTGTCCAAAATTCTTTTCTTGTAATACGAGCTGGTAATGTAGGATACAGAAAAACATGCGAGGAAGTTGGCGAAGTTTCTTAGGTGTCCTTTTCCCAAAGAGGAGGAAGATGGTGTGGTAGAGGTGATTGTCAAGTTGTGTAATTTTGAGAATTTGAAGGAAATTGAAGCAAATAAAAAGGATAAGAGAGGACCTAAGGAGTTTATGATCAAGAATTCATCCTACTTTAGGAAAGGGAAAGTCCGGGATTGGAAGAATCATCTTACTACCGAGATGGCTCAAAGATTGGATGATATAGTTGCGGAAAAGCTCTCTGGATCTTGACTAAGCTTTCGACGTTGTGCTGATGAGTTATATTACTTTTCTTCTACTTGTTTTCTATTCTTATCTTAACGTCTCTTCCTTCAATGCAGAAGAAAGTTGATAGTTGTATGTAGTTGGTAGTTCAAATTCTTCATGAAGGTTTATTTTTCATATGAATGTGTAAAATTCTTCAAGATCAGCAAAGCTCACAAGTAAAAGGTTGGCTGTGAGAGTTGTAAGATGAGAAATATTTTTAAGTTTGATGTTTCTTCAGTTTAGGGACATTTCTGTCTGAAATTTTGATTTTTGAAGTTTTATTGAGGTGTCATTTCGGTCTAATTTGATAATACGGTCCCATAGCATGGAATTTTCAAATCATCATCTTTATCTAAGGCCGCTCTTGAGCTAATATGAATTTTAGAAATTTTCTTAGATTTGGGGAATTCTAATCAGTAATTTGAAATCTTAGTTTCTTTTTTCAATTTTCATCCGTAGCATTTGGATATTCCAACCAGTATATTTGGCCTTTTTGTTCAGTTTAGGAACGTTGTAGGGCTACCAGTACTTCAACTTAGTACCAACCTGAAACTTTCATGGCCATGGCCATTAACATCTTTATTTGATGGAAAAGAGAAACAAGTTCGTGCAGAATTCAGCCTGAAACCAATATACCTCAGTTTCGAGGAGACCTGCAACATAGCATCCTACTACAATTTGAGAAAACTAATTAATGACAATACAAAACAAATCATCAGCACACAGTCAAAAGCTGAGTCCGGATCCAGACAGCTTCTCTGTGAATATACCATCCAATCTCTGAGCCATCTCAGCAGTAAGATGATTTTTCCAATCCCCGACCTTCCCTTTCCTAAAGAACGATGAGTTCTTGATCGCAAGCTCCTTATACCCTCTATCGCCCTCTTTGTTCCCTTCTACTTCCTTCAACTTCTCAAAACTACACAGCCTCACAATTTCCTCAGCCACGCCCGCTCCCTCCTCCTCTTTTGTAAAAGGGTACCCCAGAAACTCCGCCAACTTTCTTAGATGTTTTCCCGTGTCTTGCATTACCTCCTCGTACTTCAAGAAAAGAATCTTCGACGGCCTCCTCAAGCTCTCCATCCAGTACCCCAACTGATGGTCCCACAGTGGCCCAAACGACGAAATGCCCTCACAATGCATCTCGAAAGCTCTAGTAAACGGTACAGGCTCCGTTTCTGGCATCATCTCCTTCAAGTAATGCCACCCTGAGACCACTGTATCCTTAGGATCTCGACAGATGTAAACAAACTTACAGTGTGAGCTAGACAAACACTCAGGCAGAAGCTGATACGCAGCGTGCACGCTCAAAATCCTTGGGGCTGCAAGATTTTCCAATTCAGAAGCTTGCCCTCGCCAGTACACTTCATCTACAAGAGGCACGCAATCGTGAGGGTGCAAGCGGAGGAGGGGGTGGTTTCGGGAGGAGAGTTCGTGATGTTTTCTTGTGACCGTCGCAAAGGTTAGTGCCTTGAGCCAGGTTGTGCCTGATTTCGGAGGGGAGCAGAGAATGATGTCGGTGTCGCGAGGCTTAAATTGGTCACGGAAGGCCAGTAGGCCTGCAAGGTGGACCTCTGGGTACCAGAAGCCCAAGTAGCTTCGGATTCGAAGAGGACCCCAACCTTCAAACAGAGGAAAGGATGATATCAGCTTTTGGTATCTCTCGCGGGGTAGTATTTCTTCCTCAACTGTATTAGCCATTGATATGGGATTTGTGGTTTTGCGACTTTCTCACTTCTTGTTATATTGCATAGATATCGTCACTAGCAAGAACTAGTCCGTGAAATGTGAAGAGTGATTAGAAAAAAGGAGAAGAGATAAATAATTCAATAATCATTTAAGCTATCGAAAATGTGGAACTTAATCACATGACGAGGCATTGAATGAGGAAGTCCTCGGTCTTGTAGAATATAAGGAAACTAATTTAATAAAACTAATGAGGAACTAGTGCTCGAGATCTTCAATAAAACTAATTTAATTCTAATCTCTATCTCTTCCCAATGAATTGATTATATTTAAGATAAATATATTGCTATCTGTCCAAAACTTGATTTTATATCATGTTCCATCTGATGTTCGCAGATCTATAAATATTTTATAATTTCCCGCCTTTGATGGTGCAGAAACTTAATCTAAAGTTCCAGCATGAAATACAAAACAGGCTGCTGCTTGATCAGATCTCTGTTTTCAGTTAACTCGTCAATACTTTAAGGGGTTAATTACAAGTAGACCTCCTTCACTATCACTAATTACAAGTAGAGCCCATTGCAGATGGAGCCTCTATATTTCTATTTGTGCAAATAGACCATTTGTACTATTTGCCCAAGTGCGGGTAGATCCTCTCTCAGTTTTTTTAGAACTCTTTAGCAAAGAAACATAAGTTTACCTTCGGTCTGGCAACTTGGAATTTCATCATAATGCCAAAATTTTGAGGGCTTGGCATTCATATTTTAGATATGCTTAATGAAGCACTTATTTTAAATCATATTACGGCCATTGTCTTGAAAGCTGATTCAGTTTGGGTTATATGGATCCATGGCTATTATTTAAAATCTCAAGATTTCTGGTCTATCTCTTCCAAAGCTCATTATTCATGGACTTTCAGGGAATTTCTAAAGCTTAGACAGCTTGCAATGCTTTGTATAGAGTGCACTGGCTCTATTTTAAAATGGAGAGGTCAGGCGGCAAGTCTCATTTTTGAACCTCTTCTACTTATAAAATACTTGGTGGTGCTACGGAAAAACAGATTTGGGCTAAACTTGTGGGGGAGCAACTACACTGTTCCAATTTCCAATGCATGTTTTCATTTTCTGGGTGATTTGCTTAAACAGATTGCCTACCAATGAGAAATTTATGTAGTATGACACTCTTCACAATCATATTTGCCCTTTGTGCAACCTACATTCAAAGAATAGAAGCCATATTTTCTTCATTTTGTGAACTCTGCCTCAAGCTTTGGAGCGAAACTATGAATTGTTAGGATTGTGTGTTTGATTCTCTGAATAACTTAATGAGAATTAGATAGGATCAGAGGTCTATCATGATTAGGAGATTAGATCTCATCATGATAAGGAGTTTGAATTCAATTCTAATTAGGAAGTTAGGTTAGAGATATGATTTTGGTTTCTCTATATATATTATTCTAATATTGAAGGAAAAACCATCGAGAAAAGGAGAAATCCACTATTCTTGTAATATCTAGGTTAGCAAAGGATGTAAACCAGATTTAAGAATAGTGTGCGAGAGGCAAGGATTTCATAGGCATTGTCTGTGCAAAGGATTGTAACATTGGCTAGGGTTTCGTATTCTTTCTCCTTACAAAAGATTACAACAGTGAAATTGGGAGAGGGTTTAGCAATCTTTGTCCGTTCAAATGATCATAACGAGAGGGTGTAGGCATCAAAAATTTTCTATAGGTTTCCGCACACAGTTTGAGACGGAGAAAAGACGATGAACGTCATTATCCGAATCAAGGAAGATTATCTGACGCCGACAAGCGCATGAAGCGAATTCGCGAACCATTGATGACGTAACAACAAGCCACCGGAACGGCAAAGCAAGGGCCTGCGCGCTCATCAGCCACCTCCAAGTAGCTCGCGCGCTCACCGGCCATCTCCAAGTGGCCCTCGTGCTCACCGGCCACCTCCAAGTGGCCCGCGCGCTCACCAGCCAGCTCCAAGTGGCCCGCGCGCTCATCAGCCAGCTCTAAGTTTCTCGCACACTCATCAGCCACCTCTAAGTGACCCGTACGCTCGTCAGCTACCCCCAAGTTAACAAAATGCATGAAGCGAATCGGTGAAGTGTACAAGTCAGCGAAATGATGAAATACGCGTAACGACAAAACAAGACCAAACCGAACAAGCCCCTGGTGACAGAGTCACGTTGAAATGACTCGGCCAAAGCCAGTGGCTCAGCCAAGGCTGAGCCACAAAATGGTGGCTCGCACAGTGCCGAGCCATCGTGGGATAGCTCACGCCCGCCCACTCTTCGGCCACCTCCAAGTGGCCTGCGTGCTCATCGGACACCTCTAAGTGGCCCTCGCACTTGTCACCCCCTACCTAGTGGCCCGTGCGCTCACTGGTCACCTCCAAGTGGCCTCACGCTCACCGGCTAGCTCCAAGTGGCCCACGTGCTCACT